TGCAACTGTTGTTTTTACCATAAATTATAATGTCATCTAAAATGCTTTTGCCACTTCTCTCGTTTCTTCCCTCTGCCCTCGGTGTAGTACCAGCTAGCTCTGAGACCCGACTGAAAAGAGTATACGATGGAATTTTTATTTTCAGGGGCTGTTCGTTGTGTCACGAATCGGTATTCTGGAATACCTTAATGGTTATAATGGTGACATGATACAGATACAGGACAGCACAGAAAGCAATAGGCTGACAACATAATTGCAGTTATAAACTAGTACGAGAATTTAATTAATCAAGCAAAATATCAAACACAAAGTGCGAAATGCTATACACATTAGTACACAGTGTTCTATGAAAGAACTGCACAGCAAAACTCAGCTCATAGCTAACTAAAATGCAACAGCCAATAATACCTAGATGGTACACTACAAAATTGCACTTGTAATACAACTACTACCTAAGCTTAATATCACAATATCTGTACTTCAGTAAACATGTATTGTAATCACTATTATTACACTGCAATGGGTTTGCAGCACATGTGATAATACATTTTGCAGGATACATTCAATAACATAACAATCCCATAAACATACTTGTACTGGGTTCAAGACTAGATTAAATTTTGATTGAGACTATGAAAACATAAATAAGGCACACACAGGTTGACCATAAAACAACTGGAACTAGAATTACAACACTTGGTCTATAGGCAAGTTGCACACAGGCTAGCTATGTTCCAACCAGTACTAAAAATACAACGCTGGATATAAAGGCAAAAGACTCATAGGTTGGCTATGGCATAATTTGTACACTTGCCACACTTTGAATAATTTTTCAAATAATTCTACAGCATAAGCAAGGAAATAAGACTATAACAAATTGCATGCAACCTGTTGCCACTCACTCACACAAATGCGTTCATTCTTGCTATATATAATGTCAACTGTTAATAAACACGAAAATCCAGATGGTAAAGATTAATATTTTTGGAGAAACCCAACCCAATACAAATGAATAGAATTCCTGCAAAATTGACAAGTTTCAAGTTTAAATACAAGAAGTTCCAAAGGCACGATGCGCCACGCCCCTCCCCACACTCACTGCCTGCGACAGTGGAAAGGGGAGGGGGTGTAACACTCGAGGCAAAGTCTGAAGTTATAACAGAAAAAAAGTGCACTGACTATAAACATGTATAACTCACGTATACACGCATCCTTTGTGATCATACTTAATTATTCTCATTTCTTTTTATGTGGTATTGCTCCCAGGCTTGTGCTGAAACTTGTGCCTTAAATAACTCTTACAACATATTTTAATTCAAACTTATACTAGTATACTGAAATATCTAGCCTGTGTATGTGACATACCATATGCAATTATACATTTATTTAAATAGAGAACATTATACAATGCATTAATGATGCCGGCACTGACAACGTTCGTCATGTCAATACAGACAAACAAATATACATTCGCTTTAGACTAGAGTACTCACATCTCTTAGGAAAGATTGATTATAATGTAGTGATGATCTTATAACGTTTAAAGGATTGGAAAAACAAACTATAAAGTCATCTAACTACATTAATTAATTAATAACTATCAAAAAATAATGTTTTCAAAAAACCAAGTCGCGGCAGCACCATGCAAAATGTTATGCAGCCGCTTCTCGTCTATATACATAATTTATTACATTATTGTAACAAATAAATGGTGAATATAATACTATGAGATTATTACGAGTATACCTCAAAGTATGCACGAAGACAGTACATCGGGAGTATCGACCGATGCGCAGCGAAGGTCGATGCGACAGTATACTGTCTTCGTGCATACTTTTACGGTATCCTCGTAATAACTTTATTATTATACATCTTTTCTTCCAATGATACATCATGGGAATGCCGAAATCCAAAATGTTTAGAACAGAATCAGCGAACTTCTCTGTGTGAAGTCCGGACCAACCCTGATGGCAGTCATGTTTGTTTTTATTATTAGAGGACGCTTACGCGCGTAATCATTTAATATTTGGAATTCGAATTTCCTAATATGGTAGGATGAAAATACCGCAAAATTACTGTAACCTATGGCGTTACGTGACAGATGTATAATAATAATTACACACATTCATTTTTAAACAATTTATTGTCAATTTATAAACAATTTTACTTAATTAGTAGTACGTTTAATCTGGCCGCAGTAATAACTAAGGGTTTGTATCGAATTATTTTTATATTACTGATTACCTAACCTAGCAGTTCTTAAACAACAAGAAAATCTTCCAGCCACACCATCAATTTGAATGGTAAACTTCTTATTTGAACTATTTTTAAATTTACACACATCCTATGAAGACTAATTAAACTTCTATAAGTGACCAATAACTTTGTCTAAATAACCCAGCCATATTATTCAGTTTGACGTTTTATTGTTACAAATGAAATAGTGGACATTCTTACAGGAATCATATAATATCCGATAATTAGAGCGATTATGGGCCCAACCTATGTTCTAATTGTTCGTGGTTAAGATAACTTAAGGTAATGATTAATATTCAAATTGACTGTACATAAAATTAATTTTAAGTAATTTTAATTTAAATTGTAAAGTTTTTGGAGTATATGCATCATTTCTGAACATTTTGATCAGCGTCATTTACACGAAATAATAACAATACCATGGGTTCTGATTTTAGGAAACCCACGCAGCCGGAAAACATAGCCGTCCGCCCTTCTGCCATTGCAAGTCGAGTGCTATCTTTGAATGGACTACATACATTAGGCACGATACAAGACTAAAATACCTTCCTTTGCAGTAAGGAGAGGGGCTAATGATCAACTAATTCACATATTAGGCGCAACAATTATTATAAATGTTCAGCAAATAGAGCTTTACCCCTGGACATTTTCGTCGGTATACAATACTTTGTACTGACTTTTTAGGACGTTTAACCATTAGCTCAGACATTATTTATGTTCATTTATTCTCGAATAATGCAGTATCCACTCCCACGATGCTCACGCTAATGGTTGGAAATGGTGATGTTACTGTGATTAGAGACGACCCACCTTTCGATTAGCGGTATTTGGTGTATCTTATACCTACCACTAGGGATCTCTATATTGACGTGACAATAAGAGTTTAAAAATACAGATTTTAGTGTGATGTATTGTTGTATTCTATGAGATCGGACTGACATTCTCCTCACTGGATTGCAGAGCAGCTAGAGATACCCTTACTGGATGTTTTTTTTTCACGTTCTACATGCTTTGTACCTGGGATACCCACAACCATAGTTACACAACTGCACGTGTACTTTTTCTCTGCGTGATTTACCTTATTATTGGGGCTAGGTTGGGTCATGCAGACAGAACTGACATACAGAATATTAACTATTGAATATTATCCTTTCATTAATTCAGTCAACATTGAAATGATAATAAAACAAATAGCATACACTACACTAGTACTCCCCTTACAAGCAGAATTGTGAGATTAGTACAACAATCAGTCAGGTGGTTATACCATGGAGAGGCGATCAGAGCTCATTTACCCATTCCATCATTTCGGAATGTACTTGTATGAACAGTACGGGATATCCTATCTCCTCCAATATAATATATTGAGTCATATGTTCAACTAGCAGTTTGTTTGCACACAGTCAAGCTGATTACCTAATTATATATATATATTTATATTAACTGTCAACAATATTAAACTTAGTTCAATACCGACAGTTGCATTTTAAATTGTAAATATTAGGCAGACTCTGCCTTAAGAGCATGATGTGAGGTAATTATCACATGCTGTAACTGCATCAATTGAAGGTTTTTGTTTACTAAAGTCACCCTGTGCTTATTTATATATAAGTCATAGTATTTCCTTGTGTAATACTAGACATTGGGTTTCTTTAGGATATGAATTTGACACCCTTCATTGTTTTTAACTGAATAGTACATCTTGGTTGTATAAGACAAGTCTATAAAACTACATTTGTTACACCTAATACTACAACCCAGTCATACATCACCTCTAGACCATCATTTAACGTGAATTTGGATGAGCAATTTAAGGAAACTGACCTTTAGTTTTAGCAATCGAATTAAGTGCAATTAAAACATAGGAGCGTTCCTTTCTCAAGCTATATTAGTAGTTTTTACGAGAATATTGCAAAAAGTGCATAGTTTGTGGCATTCTCGTGTTAACCATAATACTAGTAATATACACCTTTTCCCTACTCGTGGTATTAATTTTAAGATAAATAACGAAGACAATTTCGCGCTGTGCGAACGTTTATTTCCCAGTGTCCGGATTCTAATTGCATCTCGCACTGATAGCGTCTCTGTGTCTGAAGTTCACGAAGGAATTTGGTTTAATGTGACGTAAACGTGACGCACAACTTCCAAATAAAGAAGACATCCGAACGCGCTTGAGTTTTACGAATGGCTAAATTATATTGTTACTGGTGTCAGATAATGGATATATAATAATATGAGGTTATTACGAAGATACCTCAAAGCCGAGGTCGATGCGACAGCGTACTGTCTGAGTGCATTGTCATTGCGTGTGACATGCATACTTTGAGGTATCTTCGTAATAACCTTATTATTATACATCTTTTCCTACCAAGGATACATCACGGGAAAGCTAAAATCTAAAAAGTTTAGAACAGAATCAGCGAACGTCTTTGTATGGAGTCCGGTTAAATTCTGGTGGCAACTATGTTTGTTTTTATTATTAGAGGACGCTTACGCGCGTAATAATTCCATAATTGGAATTCGCATTTCCTTATATGATAGGATGAAAATACCCCGTAAAATACCGCAAAATTACGGCACGCTGTAACCTATGGCGTTACGGTGACAGATATATAATAATGGATATTATGCTATTCTTTATAGAATGTCCATTGTTTCGGTGTTAATCATAATACGTCAAAATAATATCAGTATGGCCTGGTTATATTATTAGGTATCAGAAATAATTTAAAAAGTCTAGAAATTCAGTGGGTAGAAAAATGACCATGTCTGTTTTCTAGGAACATAAATATTCCTGCCGTGATACTAACAAATAGTATCAGATACAAAACCATAAATAATCTGTCGACCACGACAGCAACCATTCGCCATTCTTGTACACTTTCAGGCAAACTTGTGATATAACTAGGTGCTTTTATATCTATAGCACTCATGTCTCCACTTCCTTCACCGACCAGTGGTATATGTATATCATCATCGCCTTCGGTGTGTTTTGAGTTTTCTGTCGCTTTCAAAAACGGTTTTGTTTTATTTTGGAGCAAAACTATAGCGGCAATGTACTTAAACACACAGATTCGCATCCACCCAGGAACTGGTGAACAGTCGCTCGCCAGATAGTGTAAATTGATGCTAAAACCCGTCAGGATCGACGAGAGTGCAACAAGTCCGATGGTAGACATCAGGTATATTTCTGTTTAGTCAAGAAAAAATACATAAAATCAATTACTACCATTATTGCCCGATATAGACAAACATGAATATACATCTATCATTTCTGAATATAACAACTGACCATGATATTCCCACACACTATGATGTAGTTTTCCAACATTTCACACAATGCTTCAATGAGTGTATGTATGTTAATGAGTGGAATGGTGTGTGTATGTTTGTGTGTGGGTGTGTGTGTGTGTGTGTGTGTGTGTGTGTGTGTGTGTGTACTTGCATTGCTATATGTTCCGAGGACAAAAATACAGATATATAGCAACTTCCGAGGACATACACACTTTCCGAGGACCTTTTTCATAGTCCTCGGAAAACATAATTTATATTAATAGTTAATTCGATTATTAATAAGTTTTGCGTAGCTTAGGTTT